TTTTTTTTGTAAAAAAAACTTTTTAGTTAGCTCAGTTAGAAAAATTTTAGTTAGAAAGTTTTGCAGTTTTCAGTTTAAAAGTTTTTGTACTCATTTTTTCAATAGATTAAATCTATGATATTAAAAAACTGGTATTTTACGTGAAACAAATAATTTCACGTAACCATAATGTTAAAACTTGTTTTCACAACTTTGCTGTTGCCTTGGTAACACCAATACATTAATAATCACTTTCATCCAAATATTTTATTAATATATTAAATTTAGTTAAAAAATTTAGCACAAAAAATGAGGTCACTGTTTAATTTGACCTCAGCTAAGTTTATTTCAAACTTTGAAGTTCTTTCTTTTTCATTCTAAATATATTTATAAAGCTTTTGATACAATAATTTTATATACTTTTGTAATGGAAAGGTTATGATGAATAATATATGAATATTTATTTGTTAATAATTGTAATAATTATTCTTGATGACTATTTCGAGCTGTATTTATTTTTGCATTCATCAATGCCAACTAGTCTTGATAACGCTTTTGCACATATTAATTACACGTCGGCTATTGCCTACTTTATTCACTTAAACTATCAATTCGTCAGATATTTAAATTATTCCATTCAACTCTGACCTAATTCACTTCCAATTCTATCTACTTTATAATAAATTTTCAACAAATTATACTTATACTTTCCTATCTATTAATAATTATTGCATTAATTTACTCGCAAAAATTTATTAATAAATTTATTACTCAAAAATGCTTAAAATTTCTGCTTGTTTTTGCATTTTTTTTCACTGTTTCATTAATTTTTATTTGCTTAAATTAATTTTATAAAAATTTCAATTTGCAAAATAAATTGAAAAGAATTTTAATTTAATTTTAAATTTAATCTGACAAACTTGTTATTCAGCATTATTTATACAAAACTTAAAAATTTAATCCTACTGATCACAACATGAGATATGTATTATAAATATTCACTATCTTTTTCAGTTCTCATGAAATCAGGTCATTTCTACAATTTATGATTATCCTAACTTTCAATAATGATCATAAACAGATGATCGCTTTCTCTTTAATTCATAACTGTTCAATGATTTGTTCAAAATTTTTTAATTCTAATTTTAAAAAAATGCTTTCAAACAAATTTTAAATAGGATTTGAATTATATAAAAAAATTTAAATTCACAGAAATATTTTTATAAAAATTATTGATTTATTTAATAAAAATAATGCAATCTGATATTTAAAAAATTGCAAATTAAATCTGTTCTAGCAATTTCAAATCAATGAATTTAAATTTAGTTACTTTTATTAATTTAATTTAATTTTTAAAGAAATGTATGAGGTTTTTTGCTACTATTTGTACTAAAAAGAATGCAGAATATAATAAAAATTTATTTATATATTTTTTCTATTTTATTGCTACTTTGTTAACATTCAATTATTTTCTTAAGTTTGCTTTTTTTTCAAAGTACTAACACAATGTCAATATCAAAACAAATACTATGTTATGACATTGAATACACATATTGTAATAAAATGCACATTTTTTGTAGGTTAGAAGGAGACTGAAATAACCAGAATGATCTTGAAAGAATGAGAAGAGATTAAACTAGATCAAAGTAGTACTAACAAGGTCATAGGTTAAGCAGTCCAAAATGATTACATTCTTCAAAACATTAGACAATATTTAATCTACATTCAATTTAAAGCAATACTTTTTGTTAGCAAATAAATTAAACTTTATTTTTTTCTAAAAATTAAATATTTGCATAAATCAATAATTTTTGTATATATGCTAAATGAAAATAAATGTTCAAACCTTTTGCTGAATTATTTTTTGCTTTGCATTTCGATTTTGCTTCTATTCTTTCGTACAATAAACCGTTAGTTTGCTGCATGCTACCATTTGCAATAATATTTTTTCAAAATATTTTCAAACTTAAAATCAGTACATTGTGTTTACGTGTTTGCGTGTTTGCGTGCATTTCTTTTCTTGCAGCTTACAATAATTTCTTTTAATAATTTCACCTATTTTTTTGCTGTTTATTTTTTTTTGCAGTGAGTTAATTTCACATTTTGTTAATTCTTTAAAAAAAAAATTAAATTAAATTGGACAATATTACCACCAATTTTATTTGTTTAAAAGAGCAACTGCTCCTTGACCTCATTTTTCGCGTATGTCTCAGTTTCCAAAATTGCTATATTTTTGAATATTTTTTAAATTAGGCAGATTTTCCTAAATATATAGATAAAAAATATTTTTTTGAAATACAAATTTTCTTTTTTAAATCTTTTCTTAAATTTGCTTATTATTTTTAAGTTATCACACGTAGATGAATTTATGCAAATTTTGTACAGAACTTGCGCTAATATCAATAAAAATAATCAAAAACTGTCATTATCCTCTTAATAACGCTAGTAAAACTCTTTATCACAATTTACTTCTTCTAGAATATGCCAAAAAATTTTACCCCATTCAACCCACAAAACGATTAACTGTAGCTGTAACTGTAATTACTTAATAGCAAACCAATCAATCATACAAAGATGTCGTTATCAATTTCCTCCAATTATCGAAACAGGGGTCAAAGTTCTTTATTCATGCATCGGAAGCCCCCTGAATTCAGCTGGTTTAGCAATGCGCTCAAAAATATCAGTATGTTTCTCTATTAACTTTTATTCTATACTGAATAGTATTTGCACCACTTTCAATATTTTTAATCTCAGTTAATCAAAAATGACGATTAATTATTCAGGAAGTAAATAATTTTTGCATTTTTAGGACTTAGAGAATAATAATAATGATTTCCCCTGCATTCTACTAGAACTTTTTTTCGCGCAGTCTTTTTTTGAATATTTAGAATGATAAAATGTTTATTACAAATACCGTGAATTGGTTCTTTATTTTAATCGTGAATTACGTTTGAATAAAAAGAATAAGCAAAAATACCAAATTAGACATAAGAGTGAATAAACGAGTTTGCTTTACTTGCAAAAGCAAATAATAAACTGTAAGGTAATTATTTTTTTAAAACAAACAGTCCGTAAGGAATAGAATCTGCAAGTGATGCATTTCACAAATATGTATGTAATGTGACGTAGTACGAGTATTATTAAATATTTCGTAGATAATCTTATCACGTCACATTTTGGGCATTTCTGTAAAAAGTTAGTTACGTATTCGTTATACTACTGTAATAACAAATAATTGTGCTAATTTTACGTTCAGTCATTATTTTATTTATTCTTTCACGTTCGTTCCATCTTCAAGTCTTCTCTCTTTCATTCTAAACTGTGGTCATAAACATTTAATATTTCTCAAAACACATACAGACCGCAAAGACTTACTTACATGACGCGAGAAATATTTATTTATATGATAAATACTAGGTTTAATAAATAGATATTGTTATCAGTTTTTATTATTAATTATTCAAATACAATTTTTTTAAGATATTACAGATATAAAAGTTTTATTGATGAATTTATGAAGAAAATCAGTTCTGTAGTTTGTAATTATTGTAATTGTACAATGCAATATTTTAGAAGAAAAGAAAGAATATGGTCGTAAGAATGATAATGAGATGGAAGGATGTCATACAGTATCAAATATATACCCCGAAACACAAGAAAATCAAACAATAACTACTGCGCCATCAGAAATAACGAAAAATCATATGATACCTACAGTATCTTCTACATCAACAAATGATGCCAAATTTTCTGATTCAAGCTTAAAAGTAAACAATACAGAATGGGAAAAAAATAATGTAATGAATACAATGAATACATATGAATACCAAAATGAAGAATCAGGAATTGATAGTAGTGAAAAGCCAACCCGGGATAATCATCGAAGAAGTCTTACAGCAAAATATCTCGAAAAGAAAAATCAGACGAAGATTGATATCATAGAAGAACCAGCTATACGGCATTCTCAGTATAATCAATTCCCAAGGATTCTTCAGGTGAAAAAACATTGCTCCATTTGCATGTATCATTTTTGGTAATTATAATATCTCATAATTAATTTTAAAAACAAGAAAATATTGAAATACTTTCGAAAGATGTCAATATATGGAATTCATCACAATGTTATTTCAAATATATTATACTGAATCATATTTTTTAAACAATCTGACCTTAACATGACCTTAAAACTGATTTACTGAAACACCAATCATATTTTCAATATTTTAAGAATGAAGGACCAGTACGTCAGTCGTTATTAAATTTAGTTATGGATGAAGATGTACCTGATTTGATGGAAGCTATGGCAGAAAAGGTATCGCATTATTTGACAAATTTTCAAATCAACTAACAGCAGTTGATTTTGATGTACTGCAAAATTAAATTATCATTGAAACTATACAAATTCAGATACAACTGAACAAATTTGACACAATTAAATTAAAGTACTTATTTGCATATTTCAGCTAGAATTTGTTTTTGAAGATCTAACACCATCCGCATCTTATACCGTACAAGGAATTTTACGCCATCCAGAAAGACATCCACGTTCACGTCCAAAAGTAAGTATACCAAGATTCATATAAGTTACATAGCAGTATTAATTTATAGAGACTATTTTTAAACTGTTCTCTCAATTATTTAACTTTCGTGTAAAAAAACTAAACACATAAATATGACGCAGATATTTGTTATATTATAAAGGTAGATGACTATGGAAAGTGAAAAAAAATGGCTCTTTATCAGTTTTTCAAAAGAAATTTTATTCATTTGCAGGATGCAAAATTGGTGTTTAAACCTTCTTCACCAACAGTTTTCACATATCCCAACGAAGAATCGGCTGTTGAAGGAGCGCTATGGGATGATGGAATCCAGATCACCTATGAACTTTATCGTGAACTTTGCGATGAGTATCAATTTTCAGTTCTTATTAATTACAAATCAGCTCTTATTACAAATCATTATCTCACTGACATATCATACATTTTGATAGCATCTTCATTAAGGGAGAAGTCATATCTAACTCGTGAGAATCATGATATTCAACAAAGTTCGCAGCCTCTGAAAGTGATAAACAATACAAACTGTTCAGTCGTAAGAAGTAAATGTTATATGTGAATAAACCCAATATTTCCTTAATAATAATAATAATAATAATAATAACAAAAATAGTAAATAGTATATCGCTACAGAACATAGTCCACAAAAACTATTACCAATGTTACATAGCACTTTTATTAAAAACTATGTGACTAAAGTTCCAAAATTCGTACAAGTAAAGCACATTATCCTACATTTTTGTTACTATTAAACCAATTTCCAATTCAGTTACCTTTCTATTATCATTGTCACTTCTATGCAATTCCTTTAGTTCGTTGCTGCTCAGCCTTTCACTTTTCCAGTTTAAATTAAAATCTTTGACTCCACTTATTCATTGTTTTTAGCACTAAAGTTAGAATTTTTTCAGCAGTAACATTACTGGAAGAACCTTCGGTGGCTGAAAGTTTGCTAGGTGTCACGGGTCGTATATCGTATACCAATGTCCCAGTATTTGCCCGAAATTCTCTGTAAGTTATATTGTTTATCTAAAAACAAGTCCATATAATCAGTACTACTGAAAGAATACTTTCAGATCACTTATAGCTGGTAAATGAAAACAGAAATTAATGTAAACAATACTGATGTGAAATAATCAAGAACTATGCACTTCACCACTTTTGTGTCCGTATGAATATGTGGTCATCTTCATCTCTTATTTAGTGAAACGACTTGAATTCGTCGAATACGACTTATCATACTGATTTGTGATCTTATTTAAAATTGAAGTCATTTACTGAATTGATCCTTTTTACCTCTATTATGTAGCTTACAACTTCTGTATATATTCTTTTGAAAAATGTGTTATGGTTCATGAAGTGCGAAATTTATTTATTGCATATGTGCACCCATTGTATGATAAGCAGATAAATGAAATACAAGACTAACATTATAGAATAATGAAGACAAAAAATACAGAACTACAATCCTCACTGAACTATTGGAGGGAATCGTAAAATAGACAGATGTCTTTCAGTCAAGCTATAAACATTTCTATCACCATCAGGACATTCATATAATCTGAAAAAAATGTTGAATCTTACTAAAAAGCGAATTAGTACATTAATTGTGTTTAAGCGGAAAGAATAAGATAATCTGTTAGCCAGATTAGTAAGCAGATATGATTCCAAAACCAATATACTACGAAGAAAGATCAGGACCAAGTTCTCGGTCAACAATTAATCAAAATAAAATCCAGTAAGTTAAGAAGAAAGTGAAGTAGTTGGAAATGTAAAGACATAAAATGACTATAAAGTGAATTATAATTTATGAAAAATGATGTTTTGAAGGTTGAAGTTCAAGAATTACGAGTTGTGCTTTCTTCTCTTGATTACATTTTGTGACTTGCAGCTGAAAACACATGAAAACTAACAAAAGTATAACAGTTACTTGTAATCCACACAGAATTTCTATTGCAATAAATTAGTTAAAAATATAATTGAATAATTTATTATGAACTGGGCTTCAGCAGTAATTGAGAATCGAACAAACTAACTTCTTAATCAGCAACTGCCGTATTAGACTGTTATTCATAAGTTTGGAACTAACCTATAAAATATACTCCGTTAATTTATCAAACCGAATACTTTATGCAAAGTCAAATTGCTATCAATGATAAAGCTTCTACTTCTATTGTTCATAAAATTACCGTAATTGTATCTTGAACATCTTTTATGCATAATGGAGTTCTCATAGGTGATACAACATAAGAATCGCCCATATATTCATTCGTTACTCTAAAAAAAATCTATCACTTTTCCAAAACAATTATTAGAAAACTAGCATGCAGTTAAACAGAAAAGAAAATGAAATTACCTTTTTTTACGAGCACCGAACATATAAGACATTCCAACGCTGTTAACCAAATGACTTCTTTTCATTTTAAGCACTTCTCCAAATATATCTTTAAGAATAGTCTAAAACAATAATCATATGCAAAGGAATGAGAGATTCTAATTAATTACATACTCAGATCGAAAATCATAAAGTATTGAAAAAACATTGGGCACAAAATCATTAAGAACATGGTGCCACTTTGTTAGTAATAGATGACATACTTTTATAGCGTCAACCAACATGTAACAAACTTCATCATGAACTTCATTCCATTCAAGTCTATTTCTTGAAAGTGCAAATAAGAATCGTTTTTTGATCTAAAACTTGAAGTAAATACTGAAACTCTTTCATTTCGGTAATCTACCCAACGTGATTAGTAATAAGTAATAGAATCACTACTATACAAATTTTATTCAAAATGCAATTTCGTGTGGTTTAGTTCCAGATCAACACTTAACATTTCAATATATCAGTGAGTTATATTGTATAGTTGTGACGACAAACAGCATGGCTTATTTGCTAATAAACTCAATTAGTTTCAGCATTAAACTACTTTTCCTACTTGATTCAGCATTACTTTTGTTTAGAGCAAACAAACTTTACGACTAAAGTTTTTGTCCCTATCGATATAATTTGTATTAATAAATAAGCTTATTTTACAATATCTGATTAAAAATTTTAAATAAAATTCTGAGAAACTTTATTCCAACAGTTTCAATGACATTAAACTTGAAACTTCTATTCCATTTCCTCTATAACCTGAATCACAAGGATGAATATGCATAGTATATACAGATGATCACGACTGTCATCTTTAAGAGAGTGCAACTGAAAAAGAAAATTTACAATCGCTTAAAACAAATGAGTAACGAAATTTTGCATAACCTGTTCCCGTGACCGAACCCAAATATCCCCAAACAGAAGTGAAGCACCACCAGAATCAGACTGGATCTATAATGAACTTCGCATGCAGAACTGATGTTATCAATGAAATAAATCCATCTAAATCCTAATAGTTAAAATTTGGAATTAAATTTCTTACGTCTTGCTCACGAGCTAGATTTGTCAGAAAAGCATCATCAAGACGCCTTTTCCTACTTGATAATTCCTTAGAGGCCATAACCTCATCCTACCATCCACCAATTACGCTGCAAAATGATGGGGATACTGAAAGTGTCGACCTTCGTCAAATGAAAAACATTTACCTCTTTATTCATGAGTCTCATCAGAAGCGCTAACAAAAATGGATATGATTTTAAACTACTATTTCATTATTTCATGCGCTATAAATGTAATATGTGAAAATTTATCAACAAAATAAAGATATAATTGCGATATAAAATGACAAAATAATGCTCTAATAATGACTCCCAACAGTGGAAATAAAGCATTATAAAATTATGAACTCGTCATTACTTCCCGACCAGTACTACAAATTGCTTCTTCAAAAGTTTCAGACTTTCAACGTTGACAGAAAAACTGCACAAAACAAAATGGCAGAGAAATATGAAAATAATTGCAGACGAAGAATCATGAATGCGAAAATAAGTAAGCCATGCTAATCACTACGTGCCTACAATAATAAAATATTACAAATTTTAAAGACAAAAACTTTCAACGTACAAAATAACTGCTTATCATTTTTTCCATTGCATTAATCATGAATCTTCTAAGTCCTACTAAAAATTCACCAAAATTAATAGACTTTGAAGTGATGAGTGATAATTCACAACATTTTACCCTCATCAAAGACAGAAAAAATAGGGACAAGAAGCTTGAAGAAAAATTAAGGAATTATGCAATATTCAGAAACAAATTTGAATAGCGCTGTATAATACACACACATGAATCAAAGCTCTTTTCGTAGAAAAACTTAGAAGAAGGTTACGAAATAAATGATAGAAAATGAACAATATACAGTAACAGAACTAACGTCGCTAATACATTTACTTATATATCCACATGTCAAGAATTCCCAGATTTACTTGAATGTGGTACTGCTTTAAAGATTCTGATTTAGTAACGTTTTTATAAATTCAACCGCACCAGTGAACTGTGTCCACCAGTACGCTTCTATGCCTGTTATTTGATTTTCGCAAAATGCACTAATATATTGAATGTTTGATAATAGAGCCACAGGGTTTGCCTAAAAAAGTATTTATGTTGATCATTAGCCAAGATGTGAATGAAATCTATAATCTTGCAATTCAAATCCACAATTAACATTTTTGTCTGTAAATGATTAGCCAAAATTATGCCATTAATTCGTTTCAGTTTAAATCAAAATAAAAGTAACAATATACAGGAAAACAGTTAAAAGACGACTGGTTAAGTGACTAAATGGCATGTGGAGAGACTCTTAACTATCTTAATATTGTATCTATAAGAAGGTAATTCCTTACAATTTTTTGAGAAATCAGTATTGTGAAAATTTACCTGAATGAGAACATAAACGAGCACGGGAGTAATATCATCCGCTGAAGCTGTTCCCCGCTCAGAAGCCAATATGATAAGATTTTCAATCGTCTCACAGCATCTAACAATACATGCTATCTTATCACGCGGTGATTTGTAAGCGTTCATAATTGCAATTTCTGCTTGCGCAGATGGCCAAGGACATTCGCCACGTAATCTCTTTAACAAAAAATAACTCAAAATTAGCTGCAAATAATAATTATCACAAATTAAAAAAGGAAAACCTAAAGTAGTGACGAAAATTTTAAGACGATAAAAATATTAAGATATCGTCAGAAATAATGGCACATGTTATTTATGCAAAATTCTGAACTGAAAAATTAACACTGCAAAAACTTTGAACAGAAAAAAAAAGATCAATAGAATTAGCGCTTTACCATTGATATTCGCAGCTGCGGATGATCTGGACTGATTTCCAATGCTAATTTTTGAACAGACTTGTGAAAAACACTAAAAATGTAAATAAGATTTTAAATAAGTTGGTAATATTAAGTCTAAAGTAGTGACGAAAACTTTAAGACGATAAAAATATCGAATAACATATTTAAGACCAGTTACGCAAAATAAATGAATGAGAAAACCTGTCTCTACTTTGATCTGCTTCACCATTTGGATAAAGTGCAAAAACATAGAGTTGAGCCATCAATGAACGTTCTACACTTTTCTTCACGAATTCAATTCTCTCTGAATTCGCAAAACGCCATATTTTTTCACGAGGCAAACACTCATACAATGAATTCAGAGCACGCGTCACTACATCTGTCCTTTCATCCTGAAGCGATGTACATAACTTTTAAACATGCTTTGTTAAAGAAACGCTTGTGATCAATAACTGCTAATTATACCTGAGCTTTTAAAGTCTGAAACTCCATGATAAACCTCCGCAACTGCGCATCACGTTCTTCAAGATAAAATCGAGCAAGTATATCGACAAGGCATTCACTAACTAACATCTTTTCTCTGGAAGAGTCATAAGCATTATTTTTTATTTTGCTAATATTCTGAGATGCAATAGCATGTGTTGAAAACAGAAAAAATTTTCAAGAAGCTTTTATAACTGATGATATGTACCTATAACAGAGCATAAACTAACTGAGGATAATACTCCGCAGATCATGAAAATTTCCCATAATTGATAATTCGGGCAATGGATAAAACTATAAAATATAAACAAACTCAAAACCTCTGAAGACGAACAGCAAGTTTTTCCAGATGAGAACGTAACTGAAGAAGAGTTAAGCGTGACTGCTGTAAATATAACATATATGCAGTACGTTTCCTATGTTCTCCTTTCAGAACTCTTAAAAGTTTTCTGACCCTGAAAAAACTAATATAAGTTTGTGAAGTAGTTTTATTTAAAACATATATACTAGAACAAATAACATACGCTCTATCATCGAATATAGATAAGCAGCGCACCACCTCACGAATTTGTGCACATAAAGCTTTGTCTTGAGCATTAATGCTTTCTGCCAATAAAATTTGCAGAAATTCCATCAGCTGTTTTGCATCGTTTTTCCCACTAAAATAATCAAAACACATGAATTTATCATGAACAATTAGAATTGCTCCGAAAAAAATATAGTTACCTCGCTCTCGTCTTGGATTTCCTCAAAATACTTTCACTAGTCACTGAAGATCCTCCAGGTAAAAAAGCTATTGAGCTCAGAACCAAACGCAATTTCCGTTTCACATCAATGAATGCACGACATTGCGTAAGATTTTCAGGATCATAATACAACTCCAAATCTTGAACTGTTTCCAGTATTTTTTCCTGCAGAATTCCAACTTAAGAAGACTGATGATTGGAAACTAAGAAATTTCAAAAACTACTTTTTTATAGAGATAATCCACGATAAGTTATCAGACTTAAATTTTATTGAAGAAAATTAGTAAATTTTATTTTATAAAACCGAGAGCTGTATAAAAACCTCATTTTGTAGTTTTTCGTTCAACTGATCATTTCCATGAACTGCCTTCCCCCTGTACTTATCCAAAATTTCGTTTGCTCTTTGTTTATTTATTTCTAAAGTGGCACTTAACTCATCAAGTGAACGGCTTTCAACAAATCTTCCATTTGCGGATTCTAAAATTTAACGACTTATTTCCGTAGAAGTCAAATATTTCGGGTGCATGACTTCTAAATGAATAAAAGAAAACAACGTTTTAAAATTTGTATTTTTTTAAGCAACTTACGTGAATTCACTGCAAACGATTCTCTAACAATTGTGCTCTTTGTGTCCATTACTTCATTCATAGCTGCAGCCTGTGACAGTGATTGACGGAGAGAACTAACAACAGCACCTGAATCTCAAAAATAATTGAATTTTTTCATAGAGATGAAATTAAACAGCCAGATTAAGATATATTTTATTAAATCAAAGAAAGTAAGGACAAGTACCTTGAAGACATGTTAAAATTTAGAAAATATTATGCTATATATCAGGGTTTTAAAGAAAACAAACAAAACTAACAACTGAATACAATTTCAAAAAACTGTTTGAAATTTAAGCAAGAGTTTATGGAAACAAAAATGTTATGAAGTATAAGCAACGTATTACGGATTTGGAATTATTCTGATAATAAAAACAAGATGAGAGACGCAAATAACCTTTTCGAATTTTCAGTGATTCGCCCACTTTATGGAGACCTTGAAGGATGTTAATTTTCTTCCGACTTAATAAATTGTCGTTCTTTTCACTATCGTCATTCTGAGGTCCTTAAACATGAAAAAATATCAAATCTAAGCTTTTAGCTAGCAATCCTAATCAACTTGTAATAGTAACATTAAATAAAACAACAAAGAAGAATAGTGAAACATCATGCTAAATTAATGAATAAGATTTAAGTATACTGAAACGGAGATTTCGGCCATTAAGGGAAGAAATCCGATTTATTTTAGGGACTGCTGAACTGGAAGGAAATACAGCTCTCAATGGATCTTCATCCGATCTGTTTTCACAAGCAGATTCGCTGTTTGCCACCTAAAATTTATTAAGTTGAAATATTCCCATGAACTACTATAAAATCTCAGTAAGGATTTTTTCAACGTCTTCATTTTTTTAGAGGTTGAAAGTTAAATTAGTATGCAGATTAAAAAAAAGTTACCAAGCCGGCAAATTCAAGCAACAAACTAACACATCTGATATTTGTAAACAAATGGAGAAAAAATCCAACCTGACGAAGGAACGAAACGATATCCTCATGTTCATTATATCTTTCAACTTTTCGAATGTTCATGATACTATTATAATTCCTTGAATTATTTCCTACATCTTCACTAGCTGATGCTGCAGTTAATCCTCCTTCAATGTCATCAGTGTAGAATGAACCAGCTGCTGCCATAAAAGAAACAGCGGAGCTGGTCGGTGCTAATTCACCAACACTATTGCGAAAAGACGGAACGTAATCGCCTGGTAGAGATGACAATGTGTCATCATTAAGGTCTCTGAAAATATATCTTGAAAGTCATCAGAAATAAAACTTTTCTCTCCTTCAATTTTAACTTTTAGATCAAAATTTAGAAAGCGAATAATATATGATGGATATTGTCTAAATTGATGAAGCTAACTGGTTACTAACTTCGAGAATTCAGAATCGACATCAGATTTGGAGTAAAAAGAACTTCCACTGGATTGACGTCTAAGACGTTCTCGACCATGCCCAGTAGATGTTGAAGCTGCTAAGTTTGCCTGATTCAACTCTCGAAAAATAGATGTATCAGTTGACGATGTTGATATCGGCTTTCTGCAAAAATTGAAGCAACCAACATAATTTAAGATAAAATATCCAGTGCTTTACAAAACTTTTTTTAGCATCTTTTATGATTTCCATCTTTCTTAACGATAATTACCTTGGACCTTGGTGAAATGAACTAATAACTCTACAAGCTTCGCTCTGGATTGCTGTACCATAGTGTCCTCGAAGAGCTGCATGATTAGATGCACTACCACCTGCTAACATACTACCTTCGCTACACGCAGAAGAAAACATAGCTGCATTACTGCTGACAGTAGACGCTAAAATGACCAAAATAATTGAAAAGAATATTTCAAACTTTTCCAAATTACAAATTCCAAATAAAACACAAAAAAACTGACTACCAAATGTGTTGTCAGAATCATCAATCATCAATAAGTCGTCATTTCTGTGCAGCGGATCAGCTTCCGAATCACTAGCTACTGCGTCTACTGACCATGTATCACTTCGATCTTCACCATTACCCACTATATGTAAAGCAGAATTAGCACTGACAGTGACCAACCGATGTGAACCCATCCCTGCAATAATGGCCGCTGGAGTTTTAAATTAAATTTGAAACTGTATAAAAATACAACCCGAGATTCTTACAAAGCAACTGTGAACATAAAACCGAAGACAAACAGTTTCTCAGAACGATTTTAGAACAAACTATTTGGTCTTCTTTCATTTATTGGCTCCCCAACTTCTGCAACGGCAGGCAACACTGGTAGCGCAACAGCAATTACTGCTGCACTACTGTCGCCTTCTTGTCGAGTATCGACTCCAAAACCTTCTGTATCTGATGGTAAAACATCAGTAGACCAGCTTTCACTAACAAGAGAATGTGTTTCATCGCCTAAAAGATTTAAAATATACAAGCATTCTTAAAGAAACTTCAAGCAGCCGATATATTTGAAAAAATCAAAAAGATTCAACATTTTAGTAAAGTAAAAATAATGCCAATCTTTACGACTCAATTGTTATCATGAATCAGTGTTAAGCATATGTGTTTGGATTACGATGCTTATTAGCAATTAAATTATTTCATCACTGAAGATCCGAAAAACAAAAATATATTCAGGAAATTTGAACAAGTCTGCATAAGCAAAACTCAATATTAAAAAATGAGCATACGATATTTCTGACGCCCTTCTCCTTGAGGAAGTATACCAAATTTTCCAAATTTATCCTCTAGACCTTCCGTATTTTCGCGTCGAACAGCTGCTGGCAAATTAGAAATCTATTTTAACAATAGAGTTATTGTGTTATTGAAAAAAATCAACAGCATTTTCTAAACAGGCTGTTTTATTTAACCTATTATTAATTGAAATTATAATAAACATTTTAAAATTCATTCAAGAAGTCATTACGAAAATAAATGTCCTTTAGAAGTTATGCCTTTAGGTAGATAAGCAAAATTGAGGCAGTAGCCCATAAATATTCTTGACTCACCACCATTTGAACGAGTGATTGAACGGGTTGACCGCGAACCATCACGATTAGAGGCACCATCACTAACGCTAGGAGAGCCACGACCTGAGACATTCGCACTGCTCGGCACCACGTCACTAAAGTTATCCGGTAGCGTTGATATGTCTTCAACATCATCATCCATACCATCCGCATTAGCTTCAAATGAGATTACAATTTTTCAGAAGCTCTAGTAGTCACAAATATGAGCATGTCAATTTCAATCCTATGCTGACTTTAACTAACACAAATATAATATACAAGTATATGCATCATGACATATCATAGAAAATCTTCATGAATCATACAGAAAGAAATTTTAAAAACTATTGTCTGATCTCAATTACCTTCAATAGAAGATGATAAACTTGCTGCTTCCTCGTCATCACTTCCACCATCAGTAGTGCGATCTATAATAAGTCATTATTTCTAATTAAATAGCTTTCAGAAAGGAACTGTGATGTGGAGTAATTGATTACCAATGCTTTCAGTATCTACAAAACGTGTTCGCTTCTCAGCTGACTCATCCGATATCTTGTGTTTTCGCATTCGTTGTGGATTTCGGACTGACTCCATGAATTTTTCTTCCGGACACATCCCCAAGAGTTCCCTTCCTTCACCGAGAGGGAACATAAGCACCTGAATTACCATATCAGAACATACTTTGAAATCATGAAACTTTAAACGCAAGCGAAAAAATATAGTAATCACTTCGATCATTTCTGACTGAACAGAATTTGAGACCGCAGATTCCACTGATTTCAAATTTTTGGATCGTAAACCACTTTTATACTCTCCATTCTGAGCTAAAAAAATATTTCAAATGAACAACAGCAATACTAAGAGGTTAAATTGATAACAATTTACTCACACAAATACGAGCTTTTACAATCAGTTAAGAGATGACCTGTATTTTGTTCTTCTAGTTGATCTCCCTGAAATTAGCAGTAAAGACATCATGATAGATAAATAGCGTCAACATAAAAAAAATCACTATTACAATTCAAAAAAGGGCAGGGTACGTACGATAAAAAATTCAATTCCATCTCAGTTAGACATTCTGGTCTATACTTAGTAGGCAGAGTGGATTTTTACGTTTTTGATGTCTGAATGCACTGAATAAAAAAAAAACTTCAATAACTTCTTGAGCGTTATTAGCTCCAACATTTGCCACATCACCCTGTGAAAGTTTAACAGGTAGTCGTCGTGATAATCCATTTAAAGTTCGACGCAGTGATTCATCATTCAAAGATCCTAGTGCCGTAAATCGAATAGCACTGATCTGTAAAAGGAAACGTTTCTAAATCGTTTCATTATTTCAGAGACGATTTTTGTAACAAGACTGAAAAGTAAAAGTAAACAGATAACAAATAATTAAAGCTTGCCAAGCAATTTAGTTCTGAAACAGTCCCTACAAATAAACGTCGAATAAATTGCTCAACAACTTGCGGAGGTGATTCAGTACTAATAGCACTTAGACTATCGACTGAGCTACCATGCGTTGTGAGGATATGTTGCACCACACGAGGCATTGATTCCTAAGAAACAATTTTAAAAACAATTAAATTTCAAAGAAAAGAAATGGCCCCTAAATATAAAGTAATTGATTGGCCTTTTAGTTGATACAGAACCTTTCCTTTATAGAATTTTTTCATTTCGTTCTGAACTCTATGCTTGCAAGACAACGACTGATGAAATAATGAACATTAAAATAGAAACTAGTAAATGCAATTACTTGATCGAATTGCGAATAAAAATGAGCGATTTGGGAAGGAGGTGGTTCAATTGGTGCAACAGCAAGAGTTTGTAGAATTTGGCCTACCTGCATTAAATTGAACCTGAAACTTGTTAAAAAACTAGACCAAAATGATAAAAAAAATGAAGAGAGGTGAGAGAAGAGATTATAAGTTGCGTGAGACAATGTTTACACATTAATAGAATCAGGAGTGTAAACTTAAAATATAATGAAGCTATAAGCCTGAAAAACATTGTATTTCAAAATATTCTCACCGAGCAATGTAAGTAACGGGAGTATCAGATATAACTCCAAGTGTTTCAGGATTTGCAATGGCAGGACATATAAGATATGTAAAAATCAAGTCCGTGCAAATTAAAGTCGCCTGCAAAATATTGAACATGAGTGAAGTTTCTTTTCAAAAAGTTCCAATTTCCAATAAAAAAATTGCGATCTGAGTTTTTCATTTCATTTTTCCCGTTTTTTATGATTTTCTTTGTTTTATAGGAGGGCAAGTAAGATAGATCTTAAAGTATAGCTCTCTAATTATTGAATTTTTGAAACTGTTTCTGAGTTGTAGTTGTTGTATCTTATGTGAAACTAACTGCTTGTGAAACAAATCTAACAAAGAGTGTAGTGAGAAAGAGTCAAGGACCTGTTCATGGCTCAGTTTCCTCTGATCCATCAAGACAGCGTACAGCCTTCGCACAATGCAACCTAGGTTTTGAGGAAAGCAGGACATTGCATCCGTAATTGCTATAAAACATTATGAATTTTAAAATTAACAAGTAAATAAATGAAATATTAAAGTGTAATGATCTCTTTCCATACCTTGAATAAATCGACTTGCAATTGTAACCAACTTCGACTCAATATATCGACGATGAGCAGTTAACTTTTGTAAAAAAGATAGCGAACCTTCATCCACCCCGAAACTGCAGCAAATAAATGTTACGTAGAGATCTTTTCTTTGAATTAACAAACAATCGAATATATACATGTAACACTAATACACAAACCGTCTCCTCCTCTCTTCAGTTGGAAAACGTATTAGTGTTTTCGTAGGTTCAATATCCAAAAAAATATCATCTTGAGACAAAACAAACATTACAGGTTCGTGTAAAGCAGCTGTTAGAAAAATCTGTAATGCACACTTCAAAGGTGTTAGAAAAATGCGAAAGACACTTTAATACCTAGTTCAGAGATTGAAATACACTTTCAATTAATATGAAGAAAAGAAATCGAAATAACTATTGCATTTATTATAGCAAACCTTTGCTGAATACATCCCTTCGGAGAACAAACGATAGAGTTGGCAAAATGAAACATTCCCTTTCCTTAATAACAATCGTGGATCAGGATGCGAAGCTAATTGTATATCTAGCAAATGATAAAGGGTTTCTAGTACTCTACGTTCGTCCTCTGGGAAAATTGAACAACCATACAGAAGACTGTAAATGCATGGAACAAGCTCCACGAACATTGACTCATTGTTCTGAAGCATAGTTCACAACAATGTACAAAAGGTAAGGTTTGAATTTTGTGTCCGACATCAACTGATAACCGTATATAATTTACAATTTATTGCAAAAAGAGAAGTGCAATGAAAAAGAAAATTGTCGCTCTCAACAGCAACAACGACAACTATAAATGATTACCCTCGGCATATGATCAACTGCATTTAAAATTTCTGCAACTAAATTTGGAGAAACTAGTAATAAGTTCAATAAATCCGTTACGCCACTATAATGTTGTCCATCAATACGTCGATATCCATCAATGAAACGTGCACACTCGAGCTGAGAAGTGAGATAGCAACAATTTTCAGGTCTAACATCAGGATGAGAACTGACAAGACGTAACAACACCGTCTACAACTTTTTATTGAGCTTATTTTGTATTCCAGTGATTAAGACCGAGAAAACATTTTATGATTACTTGATGTTTAATCATCGTTTAACTTTATAAATTATGCAGGAGCAACTCGAAAACAACCTAGTCTTATACAAGACATTGATTTTTAAAACACCAAAGAAAGATCGATATTTGCCAAGCCATACCTGTTCCTGCTTACATATCCAAGCTAAGTGTGCCAAGTCACTTTGAGCATTATCAACATCCTCATTAAGTCGTTGCAAAGTGTCAAGCTCACTGGCTACGAGCAACTTCTCAGATCGCAATCTTTCACAAAGCATTGTGAGAGTATCCAATCCCGGAAGTTCAGTGGACATATCCATTCTGACCGGTTCTTCCTGAGCTTCCAAACCTCAACTATTCAAGCAGTGATAAACGACAAATACAAAAACAATTTTTATGAAAACCATGCACTAAGTAATCTAAATTTTCTCTAGCGAAAGAGATCCAAGACAATAAATATGAGACTACGACCAGTGTTTCGAATCGGTCCATTAATTCATTAAACTGCCTATGTAAAACTAAACCTCACATATAATCACTGCAGATACAAAATAAACTGATGCACATTAAGTAGTTGTAATAATTTTATTCGCAAAAATATCACCTACTTCTTGAAAACAAATATAAATATACATTTTGAGAAATATATATTACACAATTTTCACAGGAACGCAAACACAAACATATTTTAAAAAAATAATAAAATCGCCGCGACCCTTTTCATTCCAAAAGTATCTGAAAGATTACACTGAACACATGAATTAATGACTGGAATCTATGCAAAATTTCCGGCAATACGTGGTTTTTGCTCTACAATATTTTTAGCATTATTCTCTGCTATACGCCGTTCGAGCTCCGGACGGAAATGACGGATCAAACCCTAAAAATGAAGTATCATAAATTAATTTTAAATAAATATTAAAGCATAATGTATAGATTATAAAATGATGAAGATTATCAACTTACATTGTAATTAGGAAAGCAGCAATAACAGCTAATTTTTAAGTTAAAATGAGTACACTGAATACCATCAAGTAATTTTCTAAGTATCAAATTTTCTTGCATTCAAAGTTCTTGGTCAGTTTTGAAGTACTAAAACTTTTGAAATAAAAAATAAAAAGAATGATAATTTGATGGCTAATCTTACCAGAAAAAAATGAAAAGAATGTTAACGGAAACTTTACCTGTACAGGCCATGCTGCTGCATCACCAAGAGCACAAATTGTATGTGCTTCAATTTGTTTACTTATTTCCCATAAACTATCAATTTCAGCAGACTGCGCCTGACCTTTCACTAACCGCCACATTACAGAATTCAACCATTTAGTTCCTTCTCGACAGGGGGTGCACTGAAATGAACGAATAATTACGAATTCTTATTTATCAAAATGTGTACAATGAACAAATGGAACTCACTACCCAATTTCTATAATTATGGAATATCCAGAAGCAAACTTGAAATTTCTAATCACAAGACCTACATTAGAAAATTTACGAAATCCAATACGTTTTCAATGAGATCATACCTGCCCACAACTCTCGTGTCGATAAAAATGCGAAAGTCTAGCAATGCATTTGACAATATCAACTTGCTTATTCATGACAATTACAGCAGCAGTTCCCAAGCCAGTTTGTGCTTCGATTAAAGCATCATAATCCATTAGAACTGTCTCGCATACACTAGAATAGAAATTTCGCAATGAAGAGCTTAATTGAAAAATACAGCAATCAAGTTAGTTGTTGCATAAATAAAAATACTTCTATCATATGCTGAAAGTAATCCTTACAATATCTCTTTAAATTATTTAAGTTCTTTCAAAAGATATTACCAATAAATGCCAGTGAAACCTACATTTTAGGGATTAATGGGACGGATGAACCACCCGGTATAATTGCTAAAAGATTGTCCCATCCACCAATGATCCCGCCACAATGAAGCTCGATTAGTTCTTTTAACGGAATTGACATTTCCTCTTCAACAGTACATGGATTCACGACATGTCCCGATATACAGTACAGCTAGAAAATTTTTGTAAAGTACACAATCCTGAGCAGTGATATTTCCTACAATACCAAAAATATGGAACTGTAGGTCACGTATGTTACTTACCTTAGTTCCATGATTTCGATCGCGCCCAAATGAAGAATACCAAGAAGCTCCACGTTTACAAATTGCAGGAGCAGAAGCGATAGTTTCAATGTTATTCACAGTAGTTGGACAACCAAATAAACCCACATCAGCTGGGAAAGGTGGTTTCAAACGAGGTTTACCTTGCTTGCCTTCGATTGACTCGATAAGAGCCTGAAAACTTTCTCACATTTTTTCACTGCTAAATCAAAGTAAAATTGCAAACTTTCCAACTACAAATAAATTCAAAAAATGACTGTTTCTTCTCCACATATGTATGCTCCTGCACCACGATGCACGAAGACATCAAAATCATATCCTGAATTACAGCTATTTTTACCAATGAGTCCAGCCTGAAATAGCAAGATCAGCAATGAATGCCTAAAAATGAATACAAAGAACTGATATAAAAAGTTATGAAATCATGCTAATAAGTATGATATAAATATTCTGCCTTATAAGCTTCGTGTATTGCTTCTTGCAATATACAGCTTTCGTTATAAAATTCTCCTCGAATATAAATGTAAGCAGCACGAGCACCCATCGCATATCCAGCAATTAATGCACCCTCGATTAATTTGTGCGGATGATGACGAATCACCTCTCGATCTTTACAGGTTCCCGGTTCTCCTTCGTCCGCATTTATACATAAGTACTTCGGTCTGCAATTTATTTTTAATTTTCTATGTTCCGTTCGAGAATAAAAATTACATCTTGAAGAACATGAGCCTTGAAGCATATTTGAACTTTTCTAAAGAAGCGATATCTAATTTAAATGTAAAATAAGATATACATTGATGACTTTTCGATTTGAATGTAAAGTATTAACCAACAACAAACCTGTCATCAAAAGGACGTTTCATAAAGCTCCATTTCATACCCGTTGGAAAACCAGCCCCACCGCGTCCTCTCATCCCCGATTCCTTCATTTCCTTGATGATCCAATCTTGTCCTTTCAATAACACTTCTTTCGTTTTGTACCAATCCCCCTGGAAATTACTTTCTCAGTTCACTTCAATAAATGAATGATTTCTTTTACATGTTCACTTATTCAAACAGTCAAACAAAAATACAAGCTTCATGGCTGATTTCAAATGGAAATCATATTGCCCATAAAGATTAGTGAATATCCGGTCTTCATCCTTCAAACGACCAAATTCTGTCTTCTGCGATTTCTTCAGCGCATTATTAACTGTAGCTGTTACAGATCGATTACTAGTATGAATAATTCCTGAAATACAACTGTAGCATTCAAAACTGCAATCACCAAATTTTTTGAAAAGCCATTGACGATTAAGGATGACTTTAATTAGCGTTAAAATGGTTTTAAAGTTACTCCTTTATAAAATAATATACAGTGAAAAAATTGAGATCGAAATTCAATCTGAAGTGATAGTTTAGCACCAAAGCTTAGAACTGACGAAAAATTTTGGCACTAAAGTAGTAAGTTGTACTTTAGTTTTAAATATATCAGTTTTTAGAGTCCAAATTGAAACCAATCCAGTAATTAACTGGTAAAAACTTACCAATTTTGCTTAAAGCGAGTTTGGTAATACTACCAGTTACCGGAGCCATTAAGAGATCCGCTAATCCAACCTAACTAAATAAACAAATATTAGTAATAACCGAGTACTAATTTCAAATGTACTTAGTTATGCTCATAAAAACTTATAATAAATAATTACAACTATGACCGAGATAAGCATAAGTAATTACCCTTACCGCAGAATATCTCAATAAAAATGTAACAGTGTTGCAGTTACAACATTACTTCTAAATCAAAGAATATTCATATTAATGACAATTAAATCCTGACAACAACCATGTATAAGTGATTGAGTCTCATCTTAATTTAGAAAGATGAACCTACGGAAAACCGTAATCAAGCACTATTGTATCATGATTAACTATTTTTCGTTATATAAATTTATGATCCAAAATGCTTCTGTATTTCAACAATTTCGCATTCTGAAACAGTAAATGCTTTTTCTCCTTCCATTTTCTATTCATATTTTTGGTGCATTTTGTAAAAAGATATAGAATTTGCTTTTGTTTCCGTATTTTCATTTGCTATGCTCAGATTAAACGTTGAACGATACACAAGTAATTAATAACTCTAAACCAAAATTTTATGAGTTGATAAGAAATAGCTTGTATAAAGTGACTTATCAATAATAAATACTGCTAACATAAACAATCAATATCTATCCTGATCAATTCTGAGTACTATTACCAATTTGATAGATTTATGACAAAATTCAATCGATTTAAAGATTTTTATACAATAACTAATTTTTCATAATAATAATAACGGCTGCGGCCGTATTACTGTAGTTGGGATATTCTAAAGCGTTATTGATTAATATAGTCTTGGCATGTTAATTTGAATTGAGCAGCTATGAAGATTCAGAATATGGTGATTATTGTTGGAATATTTACATAGGGAAACGTAATTTATTATTATTTATCACCTGTTGTTACTATTCCCTCTCGTGACTCTGTTATTGTGACTTGTAACCTCTTTTGAATTATTTTCTACAATTTTAGTTTAAAACAAAAAAATTATTTTAACAATTTCAACTGCTCAAGATGTTTTATGAGCTCAAAATGTGTATTATAGTATGTACTCGTCAACACTTGTATTACATTTGTCGTGAAATACGTGCAACACTGTATTCATAGCTCAAAAAGATGTATTTTAATTTACGTCGCGAAATATCTTAATTATTTTTTAAGGTCGTAAAATTCGCTGTATATTATTTTTTAATCGTCTGAAGAGCAAAATCTTCAATATATTATTGGTTATCTTAAGCTTTTTTGCATCATAATTATGGCGTCACTGCAAGCACATGATGACAGTGATGACAATCTTTATCCTATTGCAATACTTATCGATGAACTTCGAAATGAAGATGTACAATTACGTTTAAATAGTATACGTAAATTATCAACTATTGCATTAGCATTAGGTGTTGAACGAACACGTGGAGAACTTATTCAATTTTTAACAGGTAAATTCAAGCATCTTTTATTAATCATTGCTTATTTGTCTAGCGTGATGAATTTTTTTAACCTAAAACTTATTTCCTCCCTAGTAAATAACTGAATAAGCTTTTTATTGACCGATAAAATTATCAGTATGCTTCACTAGTGACTTTTGTATTTTTGACAATTTAATCTGCAGGCTTGAAATGTTCCAGATACTATTTATGATGAAGATGAAGTGCTTCTTGCTTTAGCCGAACAGCTAGGCAATTTTACACCTTTGGTTGGTGGTCCAGATTATGTTTTTTGTTTGCTTCCGCCACTAGAAAATTTGGCCACCGTAGAGGAAACTGTTGTGCGTGACAAAGCAGTAGAAAGTTTACGGAAAGTCGCTGACAAACATTCAAGTGCTGCCCTTGAAGAACACTTCATTCCAATGGTCAGACGTCTTGCAACAGGTTGCACTTTCATTACTTGAGCATATATTATGCTGGACTTGAGTGTGCATTTCGAATATGATTTACTTTTTCTTCAGACTATGAAAAAAAGTTTAATATAAACGTATAGTTTTATTTGTATTGAAACGGCCGCGGTCTTCCAAAAAATACGTTTAAAATTAGTATATATATGGTTCATAACCGTTTATTTCTCTTATCAGGTATATTTTTTAACTTTTTGCAGGAGACTGGTTTACGTCGCGAACGTCTGCTTGCGGACTATTTAGTGTTGCTTATCCGCGAGTAAACCCTGCTATCAAAGCAGAATTAAGGAGGTGCTATTTTTTCTCTTTCATTGATTTGTGTAAATATTAAGGAGGAGATTTCTAAAATATGTAAGACCCAATTGACTCCTTCAGCTTGTTTCGAACGCTGTGTCGTGATGATACACCGATGGTACGAAGAGCAGCGGCTTCAAAATTAGGAGAGTTCGCGAAAGTGTTTGAATCCGATTTTCTTCTCGAAGAACTTCTTCAGATGTTCATGGATTTAGCTTCAGATGAACAGGTTTAAACTCAGTGTATAAATCTCCTCCTTTTTAAAAATTTTATTAAATTCCCAATAATATATATATATTATTGGGAATTTTTTAAAATAAATCACTTGAGACTTTTTCTAGGATTCTGTACGACTGTTGGCAGTTGAAGCTTGCATTTCAATTGCATCTTTATTGACGGAAGAGCAGCGGAAAGAGCTTATTAAGCCAGTTCTCATCAATTTAATTGAAGATAAGAGTTGGCGTGTGCGTTATATGGTCGCAGAAAAATTTACTGATGTAAGTAATTCTGAATATGCAAAAAGCAGTCGGCAAAATTTCCAACTATATTTGATGTCGAATCTTCGTACTTAGAATATGAAATATGTGGTTAATAGTATACTATTAAGGCAGTTGTAATATGATAATTACTGTATATTTTCAATTCGTTCTGCGTACGGAATGTCAGGAAAGCTCAGATCTGTCATATTCATGAGTGAAAATTTCTCGATTTATTTGAAAATTTCTGTAGGACTGCTCGAGTTATGTAAGGTTATTGATCAAATATTTTCATGTAGATTAGTAGTACTAAAAATATTCACTCTTTTTATTTAAGACGAATTTTTAGATACAATCTGCCGTCGGCAAAGACATAGCAGTCAACGAACTTCTTCCAGCGTTCAGTAGTCTCTTGAAAGATATGGAGAGTGAAGTGCGCAGTGCAGCTGCTGGAAAAATACAAAGTGAATTTCAAATCACAGTTTTTATTGTCTTAATTGTATATATGTATAGTTGATAATGGTGATAGTTTTCAGCCTTTTGCACTGCACTTCCCGCTAATGATCGAGATAAATCTATTTTAACTCATGTTTTACCTGTTGTCAAGGAACTTATGACTGATCCAAATCAACACGTAAGGACAGCACTTGCTTCAGTAGTTATGGGTTTAGCTCCAGTATTAGGAAAAGAGCTTACAATGGAACATTTGTTGCCAATTTATCTCATTCTTTTGCGTGATGACACTGCTGAAGTACGACTAAACATTATTTCTTCCTTAGATAAGGTTAGTTTTGAAAGGTTCTTTAATCGCATGCTTGTTTTTATTATCAAAATTCTGATGTATTACAGCCTTTTGCCATGGAAAGCAAATTTCAAAAGAAGCAGCACGCGTAGTATTATATTTTAGTATTCGAACTTTCAATTTTCGCATGAATCTTTAAGATAATTTCATCTGCATGATGTTGTGCAACTGTGGTTTTTTAGGTGAATGAAGTGATTGGTGCTTCGCAGTTGTCGCAGTCTTTATTACCAGCAATTGTTGAATTGGCTGAAGATGGAAAATGGCGAGTGCGCCTAGCTATTGTTGATTTTATGCCGCTGCTTGCCGCTCAACTGGTTCTTTGTTATTTTCAAAATTTTTATTTATATCTTGAATATGCAGTAACAGATCCTGGCTTTCGATACAAGTTTTTGTTGGGCATAAATTTTTTTTAGTAAGTGGAACACATTATAAAATTTCTTGAATATTCTTCTTTTTCATTTAATGCTGTAATTCAGGGGCAAGATTTCTTCGACGATAAATTGCTCCCACTCTGTATGGCATGGTTAACCGATCATGGTAAGAATTGAATTAAGAGTCATTGTATTTCCATGTTCCAGTTCTAGGTGTTTCTTACTTTCAGTTTATGCTATACGTGAAGCCGCAACAAGAATTCTGAAACAGTTAACAGAAAAGTTCGGTGCAGTTTGGGCTATGAATCAAGTCATACCCAAGGTATGCATCTTTATTTCATTAAATTTTTTGTATATCATTCATTGTATAGAGTAATGGAACAATGTTTGTCTTTAATTTGGTAACATTTATTGTTACCATATGAGCGATACAATGTTAGTATTGTTTCAGGTGATAGCTCTTGCAGCTGATACAAACTATTTGCATCGAATGGCTTGTCTATTTTGTTTCAATACTCTTTGTGAAGTACTGGGAGCAGATCACACAGTAAAAGAAATTCTACCAATTGTGCAACAGGTTTTTTACTTTTTTATTTCTATTCTTGCTGAGTATTCCACATTTATAATCGTTCATAACTGAGACGACTTGAGTCATTTGCATCGTTTCAGCTAAGTGATGATCATGTGCCCAATGTGAGATTTAATGTCGCTAAAACTCTTTTGCGTATTGGTCGCACTGTTGATCAAGGGTATGTTTAACTTTATATCTGAGTAAGAAACTAAGTGGTAACATCAGTATTATTCCTAGAAATTCAATACAGTTGTTATTGTTTATTAGAAATGTAATACAGTGAGTCTATACTATTTATCCAAATCTCCAGCGTTTATTTTTTTATACTTTAGTGTCATTAACAACCAGATTAAACCACTGCTGACGAAAATGTGTGCTGATAGTGAATTTGATGTCAGATACTTTGCTGATGAAACGAGAATGGGTTTGTTTCTTGTTCAGTTTTCTTCATGTTAGAGTAAGAAATTTATAATAATCATTTTTTCTGTTTTATTCGGAAAGCTTTGAACTGCTTTCGGAGAAATTTTTTGGGAATTCTAGAGTATTTGTCTGCAATACTTTAAGCTGATTGTTAAGTCTTTAAATGATTTGCATGAAATGCATTTTAGGGACTTTTAAATTCTTGTGATGAAGTTTTCAGCTCTGGGATTAGCAAATTGATAGCGAGTTTCGTGTAGTCTTGTGATAATTCAGTTGTTCTGTTTTGGAAACAGCTTTAATTTACAGTACTATATTGAAATAGGGCTCGAGTTCTAAGAAACAAGTTTTAATGATACTTTAATTTTATCAGATTTCATAATGTTCTCGTTCTCTTATAAATTTGTTCCATTGGAAACTTCTTACGACACGTTAGTATTAAGTTCATATTTACTATGAATAATCCGGTTATATCCAAAAAATGTTTTATTTATTTCGAGTTCTTCCTCTTTCTGCGTATTAATGAGCAACAGCTCACTCTGCATAAATTGTAATGAAATGTAGCATTACTGGAATTGTATGCATTGATTGAAACCTAAGGATACGAAATAGGAATAGTAAAATTCGTTTCCAAATGTTTTCAGTCTTGTGATTTTGTATTAATGTTACAGTTAACATTGTTTCCTTCTGGCAGTGTTTAATTTCACATACTATGATTCCAGTACCATAAGTCTAGTTGAAATTTCGCATTTTATTATGAAAAAAAAAAGTTGAAACAACTCTTATGAGAGATATTAGTAATTAGTATAAAGGCGACTTGCAACACGAGAGTAGGTTGGGTTGTTAAAGTTGCGAGATAACGATGTGTAGCCACCACTTCTAGCTGGAGCTGTCGCAGCGTGTGAGTCGTAATCTCGGCGTGAATTCCATGTTGGTGATAACCAATACCTAGCGCACTATAGTTAACTATATGTCGTACTATTAATCAAATCTCACCTATGGTAGGATTTGATTATCTATCTATGTGAGATAAATAACTAACGAATATTTGAAGTTCTCTAATTATAGAAAGTGATTACTTGGATAGGGTACCAACAGTCATACATCGCTTCTTATACATGTTCACCGCATCTTCTATGGGCATATACCTAGAATTCAGTTCCTATGTAGATTTCTTTTAACGATTGATGTGTAGAGCAGCAAATCACAATACTTTACAGAGAAGCATGACTGTTGAAGTATTATAGTCAATATATTGCTGTTGATATAATTCATATATGTTCCTATGTGCATCTATTTTCATTCTGAGAGATCTGTGTAGCGAGGACAAAGTTAATTTGATGAAACTTAAATAGTATAAAGTAAGTTATTGCTTTTTGTTTCAGTCTGCATTTCATAAGCAAGCTCAGTTCAAACAGATTTGTGAAGACCGAGTTTTCACTTACCGTACATAATTTCGAACTGGTGTGACTGGTCGTTCTATGCGTGTACTGTGGTTGGGTGTTGTAAAGAGCCCAGAATTATAGGAATTTAATCGACCTTCTAACCAGCGTTTTGTTCCGAGGTCGCGCACGCCGTAGTTTCTGCTTCCGATCTGTATTTGAAGTGCGGAAATTTGACAAAAAGATACAATAAAATCGTGGAGCAATATAAATTTATGGCAATTTTCGTATATGTATCGAAAAATCCAAACACTATTCAGATCTCAACGTCAGTAATTTGAGTTTATTAGAGAAATGAAAGGGTGAGTACTGTGTTGCGATGTGTCATGTAGTTATGTTTTCAGCTCTAAGTTTGTCTTAAAGGAAGCAAGTAATGAGATCTAGCGTGTGTAGCATGATATTTTAGTGCTATAATTAGGACTTACTGATTCCGTTTGCTCCATGATACCAAGGCCAGTATCGCTGCTTCCATACGAGTATCTTACATAAGGATACTTATCTGTGTAATGAGGCGTACTACGTTGAACGCCTACATTGTGAAGAGGCGGGGTTCGAGTTAGCACCGAACTATACAACGAGCGTCCAAATAACGATGAAGCTAAAAAATAAAGATGACGGAGCTTTATTAATACTTTGCATATAACTGATTACTAATCAGTGAGGAAAATGAGCATTCTTCAGACGACTTGTGACAATCAACATTAATAGTCAGGAATTCCTTGTATTACTATTTGTTAGAAATTGAAATTAACTTCAATTTATATTTTGCTTCTTTTATATTCACTCGTAGCTAATGAGTATGGTTAGTATAGATCTTGGATCTTGGCTGGATTACTATAGTTGATCAGAACATAGGGTCAGTTTTTGATAAATGGTTAATCTTAATTTATCTAATGGGTCATATGAGATCTAGCATGTTTCTTTGCATTTTTTAGTTTAGTTCTAAGATAATAGACACTGAAATTAATCTTAAATGATGTTTTGCTATTATGAAATCACAAATCTAGTAAACATAAGCAGTTGTTAGATCCCTAATCTAATAAAAACAAGCAGTTATTTAAACCAAATCTTAAAAACTTACAACTTCGTGAGAGTGATCGTGACATATATCCACCACCATAGCCATACTGTGGCATTGTAAAAGCACCACTCCCGTAGGATGATGCTCCGGATCCATAAGCAAAGGAATTTGACCTTCTTACTGATTTCGCTCCACGGATCTCTGATCTTGATCTGGCCAACGGTGAAATATAGTGGTATGTCGGGCCATACAATAGATCCTTCATTGCTTATATTTTCGATGCAAAGTTATCGTAGTCGCCCAAATCGTATTTTACTACCATATCTCGTTAATTAAACTCTCTGCTCATATTATTTGTACACAATTTTTCGCCCTTATTCGTAAATCCAAAAAAAAAAATGAAGGACACTACTTGCGATATATCTTGTGATTTTAATCATATTTTGTAACCCAGTACTTTTTACTCAGTTTGTTTATAGAACTGTAATTCGATCCTATATTTATTTTTTTACATATTATACTAATGCTGCATTTAGTGATAGGACAACGATGGCTTAGACTGATCGGCATAATGATTTAGAATGTTTACTTGTAGATTAATAAATTCCTTACCGATTAGAAAACTTTAATTTATGCGATATATTTTTGAATCTCAGTAAATTTTGTGGTAGTAATTTGCACTTCAGTGATCTTGTTCAAAACAAAGACTTATAAACAAACACTACAATATGTATTCATTTCATATACAAAAATAAAATGCAGGCAATTGCCTGCAAGTGGCTATAACTTTTACTTACTCAGTTTTAGCGAGCTGATATATTCCAAAATCCAGGCAGATTTTTTTACCAAAAGCAAACTGCAAGTACTATTAAGTAATTCAGTGTGGCATTGATATGAGTGATCATACTCTATCCATTAATAATGCAGAATATGTCTTAGTAAGAAATTAAAAAAACGCGGAGTGTACCACATATGGTAAATATACAGTTTCTCTTCTCATTGATTAGACTAAGTTTTAAACCAGATCACATGGAATGCAATATGCCAAAATAAGTATTAAATTTTGGCCGATAGAAAAAAAGAGCGAAAAAGTTTAATCTGAATAGCTTTATCCAATACAAAGTCTAAAAAGTGCTTTGTAAAACACAAAAATTGAGATAAAAAGCTAAGAAAGATAAGTGGGAGGATAAATGAACAAGCATATTGAGATAATATTGTAAAGTAATGCAGACAAAGTAAAGAGAAAGAAATGCAGTAGAAATCACTGCAAAGAAACCAATCAACGAGAATAGCTTACATACAACATAATCTTTTTTAAACTAAAGTAGTAGATTTTATATCTTATCAATCAATCCAAACAACAAAATCATTCTGTACTGCTTTTCATATTCTAAGCCGAAGGAGGAATTAAGTCACAAAAAAATGAACTACTGATTTGTTAACTAATCAACGATGTAGGCACAAAAATCATAAAAACGACGCCACTACGTCAAGACATTAGAAAACTTTCAAAGGATACGTTTTGCAGGCTTAAAGAGCTCTTTATAAACAAACATTACACATCGACAAAATATGCTTACTCAAATCCAGCCAACAAACATTTTCTCAATGCTTTTCATTATGTACTTTCATTTCATCTCATTAACTTTAGAAAGAGCAATACACTTTACTACTTGTTTGCAAACAAATACAGAACTTCAATTGCATACCATCTATACTATTACGCAAAAATTTTGCAAGTTTTTTTCCTCGTAAACCAGTATTTCCTCAACTAAAAAAATTTACATGTTTGTCTATTGATTCAGTGCGAAATAAAATCAACTACTTCAAACAAAATTGTTCTCATTCAAGAGTAATAAAGTATTCGGATATTCTACGAAAACAAAGGGCTAAAACTGAAGTTACTGCGCGCAAAACATGATGACTTTGGTTTCGGCTATGCTGTAATAAATCTTTGGCTCATAATGCACCCATTAGCTTTAGTAAAAATCAATCTGATGACTGCATTTGGTAGGCGTCTCATCTAAATCAATTTGTAATTGCCGGCGTTTTCGTCTAAGATAAGCTGACCGGGTCGAACTCGGAAGCGGCAAATCACAATCGTCACAAGCATAAGGAATCTATATTTTTTATCGTTAAATAGTTTAACAAACTTTCAATTTCTAAAAAAACCCGGAAGGAAACGATCGAAGAGCATATTATCATATTCACAGTATATTCACAATAAGAAAAAAATCAAAAAAAAAAGTTTTATTTACCATTTCGAGTGTAATGTCATAATTATACTACATTTATTATGTGCCCAACAAAAATAACCTCTATAAATAAGGAATGAATATTTAATGAAAATGAAAAATTAACTTACTGATTTAAAATAACTAGACTGTAGAGCTTGTGTTGCATTCCACCTATGAACTGGATTGAATCTGAAGCATTGAAACATATGTGCAGATTTCGTGATTACTTTTTTCAAACAACGTTCAGTTTAGAAAGGGCATAAAGAAATATGCAAAGCTATTTTAAGCATTTCAATCTGATCTGCGCAAAAAAAAGAAAATACCTAAAGCACTGCTGAATTAACTCGATTAAGTCGTCTCCAGCAGCAGTAAACACATTTTTAAGAGGGATACCGACTGAAGGCTTTAACATAATATAATCAGAAAGTTCTTCCATGCCCTGAAAAACAAAGAATAAAAGAAATGAAGAGCTTTAATTTTACTAACTTTCAGCTTACTGGCCATTCCTCTGGAGTAGGTGTACCCAAAACATGGTAGATTTTGACTAATTGATCGATGTCTGACTCACCAGGAAAAATTGGCACCTAAAAAGAAATGATGAAATTTATTAATAAAACTATTAAATGACTTTTTTTAGGAAAAACTAGAATAAGAACAACATAATCATTTATGACGTCGAAGAACTTTATACAAACAAAACCACTATTCGATCAATAGAGTTTAACGCATATATAATAGTTATACCCGTAAAAGAAGTTCGGCGATTATACATCCAACAGACCACATATCGATACCAACACCATATGAACGTGATGCGTAAAGTAATTCTGGTGCACGATACCACCTGGTAACTACCTGCAAACTTCGTGACAGGTCGAATTTCAAATTAACTATATTCCTTGAACACTGAACAATTACAATCCACAAGGCTTTTCCTTTCCAATAAGAAATCTGTTCTTATTATAAACTGAATAGTGCCGTACTTGATGAGTGTAACAACGATTTGGCGAGCCAAAAAACCTAGCAAGGCCAAAATCAGCAATTTTTATCCGGCCTTGCATATTAATTAGTAAGTTGTTTGGTTTGAGATCCTAAAATTACTTATCATATTTCTCAATAAAAGCACATTTATGATCAAAAAATGCGATTAAAGGTGGCTTTTTACTACTGTTTCTTCATAAACATTTATATATATAGAGAAAGAGAGACGTGGAGAGAAGTATTTTTGGTTGAAGATAATATGGAATTATACGAAGAAAAAATATTTACAGATCTAAATAATAACTCTGTGCAAAATCCATTGAACATGAAGAAACTCAAGTCCTAACAACATTTGTAGTATCATATTCTTAATGTGTTCTGGCATCAGAATAAGTTCTTTGTCTTTTATCATATGTTCCAGATCCGTTTCCATGAAGTCGAACACAAGCTGAATGTTTGTTTTGTGTCCTATCACATCAAGAAGCTTAAATAATGCAAAGAAATAGAGAATGAACTATAGCTTTGCATATATAAAGAAATAGCAGGATCTGTATCTTTATATAAAGAAATTGCAGATTTATAACTAAATAGAAAATGAATCGATCTGTAGCTTTAATATCATTGGAGTCTAAAGAACAATCAAGTTGCATTATGCTTCTCCAGAAAATCTCAGATGTAAAAATTTTATAAAGTTAAAAAAAGGACTTTAGAAATTCACTGTTAATAATAATTATGGAATACTGTGGTGAAAAGAATTAAATTTGTAAACAAACAACCATCTTACACCAATTATATTTTCATGATGCAGCTCTTGGAGTAACTTTATTTCTCTTAATGCTGTCCGGTTCACACCATCCATTGCTTCGTGCCTTGAACCAAGTTTAATCTGAAAGCAAATTCACGAAATATGCAATGCATGTTACTGAAAACTACCAAAAATACAAGCTTAAATACTTAAAAAGAAGAATGACTCAAAATCTTCAAAAAGGACCTTTTTTATAGCCACAAATTCATTTGTTTCAGTATCCCTGGCTTTGTAAACGTTGGCAAACTGAAAAGAATAGTAATATCTTCATAAACTAAGAACAGCTTCAGTAATCAATAGGAATACATACAAATCATATCCAAGTTAATCGGTGATTAAAAACCTGAGGCCCTAAACTCTAACAATATTATTTCAAACCTTAAAGAATTTACCTGCCCTTCACCAAGATGCTTGATTATCTCATAACGACCTTTTGTAGTCTGTTTAGGCATCACACACTGTTAGATCAAATTTTTCGATGTTCTGAACAAATCAAGAAATTGGATAGAGACTAAAAACGTCGAGGACACAATGCTCCTCCATGTTTATAACAGTCATCTAGCGAAATAACAATTTACACAAAAAAGTCAGCTAAATGTAATCGAAAAATCTTGGATATCAATATATGTTAATTCCGCTTACCCTACTTCCATCAGTACCACTATAAAATAAATGCACTTCAGAAAATAACCAATAAATGCTACGATAACATCGACGAATCTACCTTTTATTAACAACAAATTTCAAAAAAAAAAAACAAATCTACATAATACATGTAACATGACAAGAAAATTACGATGTAGAACAACAATTTGAAAAAGGTTGCCGAATTCAGGGCAACTGCATAAGAGTGCAATGAGAAACAATCGCACATCATATATCAAAGTTCTATAAAGAGAAACTTTGCAGAGGATCATCCATTTTCTTCCGATATTTGATTTGGTGAGAAGTTGGTCGTACACGTTTATATTTTCGCTTCCTTTTTTTCTTATCCAACTGATTACGGTAGTTATTAACCCCACGAAGTGATAGCGGAACTGTAAAATCATTACCTCAATTCTAATACAAATTCTAATGTGAACAATTGATTCAGCTTACAAATTCTAATGGCTTACAAATTCTAATGTGAACAATTGATTCAGCTAATCATGAAAAAAACCTGATTTCTTATTTTTATAAGGTATAAAAACTGTAATAGTTGAATACACAAAATAAGTACCCATATAATCCGGTACGTCGCCAATAGCTGGATTATGAAGATTTACAGAAAAAAGCTTCTTATCATGCTCCAGTGCGGCTCTTTCACGAGGATTTTTAGCGAAATAAGTTTCAAGTTGTTTGGAACGCAATAATTCTGCTCGGATTTCCCCTAATCTGGCTTCTCTTATAGCGGTTTTAGTACATGCTGCAAGTACTTCCTGCAAATGGTTTGTAAAGGAAGTAATGATGTATTATTATATGAATTTTGTATTTAAACATACAAACTTTTTGAACTGCTTAGCAGTAAGCTAAAATTACTGCGGTTTAATATTCAGTTTTTCTATTGGAAGCAAAGTTGTGTGCATAAGAAAAAAAGTAATTCGGTAACTGAAAATATTTCGAAAAAATTCGATTTGCAAAACTTACTCGGGCTCTCAATATGAATGATTCCAGTTCCTTTACGCGAACTTCATATGGAGCTATTGTGCGATGCCCTAACTGAGCGTCAATCTCTTCCTGAACTATTTCCAAGAAAGATCTTTCTGATGGAGAAACAAATGATAAAGCATTGCCTTTATTCCACCCTCTAGCAGTCCTCAAGTAGCGTACAATTATAGAAATAGTACGAAGAAAACTGGAAACTAAAATTTGAATACTGCAATATTATGTCTCCTCAAAACTTTACCTGCCCACACGATGAATATAAGAGTCGACAGATGTAGGGAAATCGAAATTGATGACATTTGCAACGTGATGGAAATCAATACCTCGTGAAACTCCAGACTCCTTATCCAAATTTTTCGATTTTTTTCGTTTGATTTTTTTCTTTTCATCAGAAACCTAGGTTAAAGTAGAGCTGAGTATGAAAAATAATGGAACAAAAGCCTTTAAATCAAAATGTGAAATGCGACACGCAAAAATATAAAACAGATTAATAAAACGATTTCTTTTCTTTAATCTAATAATATCTAACAATGAGATTCAAATCAAAATCAAATTATGAATTAATCTAATTATTTTTTGAGCAAGATAAAAAAATTTATACGTTGTTATTATCATCTTCTTGCTTTACGAAAGTTTGTAGTTCACCAGATACATCATTGATATCGGATGCAATGACATAAGTATACCGTCCCTCATTAAATTCTTCCACTACATGGCAACGACTATTAACTGGCATTTGAGCATTTAAGATGCAAGATCGAATATTGAATGCTTGTAGAAATAATCCAAGTCTGCAGAAAAATGAAAATTTAATAAATATACTTAATACTGATAAATTAATACTGATTAGAGAAAGTATTTAATCACTTCATTCCTTCGGCATACCCAAATGACAACAAGATGAGCTTCATCAAGAACAACATACTTAGCTAAAATAACCGATCTCATCAGACAGAAAACTTACTGATAACATCGATTAGTATCTTTCACAAAAATAATCGATTTTCCAACAATTAATTTCAATTTCAATAACGCTAGAAAGATAGCAAATCTTTCCTCTTCATTTTGACAGAAAATATGATATTGTGAGAGCTGATCACTATTTGGAAGCTGTCCTTCCTGAAAAGGAAATGCGTAAAATACTTATACTTAAATGAATAAAATATGAGATCAAATTTGAATTCAAACCTTTAGCTTCATTAAGACAACCGAACCGGTCACGTAAACTTCTTTAAGTGCTTCCACATTTTCCGTCATTGTTGCTGAGGTAAAAACCGTCTGGTGATGAGAAGGAAGGAAACTTTTGATTACTCTAAATTTCACTATGGATGAAATTTTGACCGAAATTTCAGAAATCAGAGTCAAAAATTAGAAAAAGCACTTAATCACCTCATTTCCTCAGCATATCCAAATGACAACAATAGATCAGCTTCATCAAGAACAACATGCTTAACTGATTTACATGGTGCTTCATGTTTTCTAAGCGCGTGTAAAAGCCTACTAGGTGTTGAAACGACAAAATCAGGGGCATCCTACAAACCTCTAACATTTTTCTCAAATCAAAAAGTAACCAGTAACTACTAGCATGTTACTATTCTTTTTTCCTCATATGTTAGAAAAAACATCAAAAAGTAGTAAATATTAAGTTCAAAAAATATATTACCGACAACCAGTCATCGTCAACATCTGTGTTCTGTTCAGCAAAATTCATCGACATTAAAAATGGAAATTTTTCCGTTAACTTGCATAACAGTTCATAAGTCTGAAACACAGCAGTATTGCAAAAAATGAGATCTTCCGAAATTAAAAAAAAATTGACAACTACTGCAACAATAAAATCAGTTAAATGCAAAAATTACTTGTTTTGCCAACTCTTTTGAAGGAACAATAAAGAGAGCAAACGGTCCAACTTCATCTTTACTGGCAGAATTCTAAAATATTGAAAAAAGTGATGGCTATTATAATTCCGAGCTAGCGGTTAATAGTTAAACTGATCACGACAAAAAATTGAAACATTTAAGATATACATTAACGAAATAACTCTGGAATATATAGAACAGTACAGTAGTCAGCAAATGACTAATATGACTGGATGAAATGTTGAGATCAAAATCTACTTCTGTTCCTTTATTTCTAATGCATTCAATAAGTCAGTTCTGTCTAAAAAATCAAACAACCAACACATCTGAGTTGTAAAATCATTTGCACGATAGGAAGCATGTATGCAGCAGTTTTGCCACTACCCGTTCGTGCCCGTGCGAGAATATTCTTATGCTCGAAAACAAATGGTATCATTTGGCTTTGCACTAATGTCGGGCATTCCCATCCCAGTTCTCCAATAACCTATAAGTAAATGAATTCAACATTTACAGTATTGAAAATATATGTAGTGAGACCGCTACAATATCTTTGCAAACTTCAATAAAAGCTGTTATTCCGTGTTTTTTTATTTTACTTATTATCATAGAAGTTTAAAAAACTAACAAAACTTACTTTTAATATTTGTTCATCTAGACCAAAATCCTTAAATGTAGCAATGACGTTTGAGACTGCTGTTGATTCAAAGCTTTCAAAAGAAGCCGATGGATAAGTGATAGATTTTCTAGATTGAAAAAGCAAATAGTGTATCATATCTAACCACAACATAAGTAATGAAATGAATGACAAGTTAAGTTAAGCTTCAAACATATTACAAAAAAATTTTATTGAATTCGAGATTTTGGTGAAGCTTACTTTGATTTCTTCTTGCGTTTTCGAGCTCTTAACTTCACAGTACTATCTGATGCATCTGAAGACTTCTCTTCCACTGCACCTTCTTCAGACTTCAAATTTAACAAATATTTAAATAACAAATACAGCTTTTAAATTTTGAAAGCGTTATATTTAGATGTGATCAAAGCAAAATGAAAAATTTTTAATGAATATACAAAACGAGAATTTACTTTATCTTCATCGTAATTCTTCATTGTTTTTGATTTCCTTCTCATTTTCTTCATTTTAACTATAAATAATTTATAAGAAAATGAATGTACGCCCAAAATACCCTTCACATTAGGACAATCACGACAACTGCAATTTAAAATGGAAAACAGAGACTATCCATCTTTGGTAACTTTAGCATTCAGTCATTCCGCCAAGCCATGGATTACCTCATTTTATGGTTCGGCCTTTTGCAGTTCTTGTAATTAGCAATGAAAGGTAAGGCAGGGGTTAGTGAAGTAGCGGTCAAGCTAAAAAAATGGGTTAAGGGCAGTTAAGATCGAGAACTGGAATCGATTTGATTTCCCATAATTTATATATATTATTGTAGATCATAACTTTTACTGCAGTTGCTAATGTATATAATTATAAATATATACCTCAAATATATCTAGTATTTATTCATCTGATCATAAGGACAACATTTGTTTGTTATATTAGAAATTATCAGTTGATATCTTGACATATTTATTTTATAGCTTTTACAACTTTTTACGGTCTATAAAATGGTATTGGCAGATGAATTTGATGTTACTTCTAATCCTGGTGCACAGATGAAAATATTCAAGCAGAAACTGGCAGAAGTACGTGCTTCACCACCATGGATGAAAGCAGCGGTAAAAGAAGCTGCTGGATGGAATCCGTACTCATTTGAAGGAGGGTAAGTTGTAGTGTATAACCATTTAAAATGGTAATATTTTTGGCTAGGAATTTTATTGCTAAATTAGGAAGCATTATAACGTTTTAGGGAAATTAAAACAAAAAAATTCAATATATTACGCTTTATTTCAATTTTTGTATTAAAATTTTCATGTCATAAAAAATTCTTATTACAAATAATATGAAATTTAAAATTGTATTAGATGTTAAACTTTTTACTGAAAAATTTTATTATTTGAATGACAAACAATTTAAATATATCTATGAAAAGTTTTTGAATGTAATTACAGAAGTACGGCAGCGATTGCTGGAGATAATTTTGCAATAATGGCAAGTGATACACGTATGTCACAATATGAAATGAATGTTTTAACTCGGGATGCAGAGAAAATTCACATCTTGTTAAGCTTTGTTTTAATTTGTTCTTTTAGTTCAAAATTTGTGTTATCGGTGTGAAAAAATAATATAAATATGAAATTATCTAAGGTTCATTGTTTTAATTATTAATAGTTATAAACTAGTTTGAAATATAATTATTTAGAAACGATTCAATTGTTCTTTCTTGTGCTGGATTTTATGGAGATATTTTACAACTTAAACGGCTGTTAGAGGTTTGTAAGAACAAATACATTATAATGTCTCGGATTGTAAGAACCTTATGATTTACCAGTTTAACACTTTCCAAAATTCACTAAGTTCTTTTTAATCATTGTTAAAATTTATATTAAAGGACTTTAGAATTTTCAAATATTATCTAAATAGAACTTAAGCTAGTCAATATTTTGATAGATAAATAATTTCGTTGCATTGATAATTATTAACAAAGATTTGATGAATTATGTAATTCAAAAACTGTAATCCTATCATGCTACGTATTTTTTTTTTCCAATTTTTCATTATTACTTAGGCTCGTTTGCATAAGTACCGGTTCGATTATCGTGGTGATATGACGGTAGATCTATGTGCTGAATTACTTTCTCGAAATTTGTATTATCGGCGCTTTTTCCCCTACTATACAGGTGCGATATTATCTGGCATCGATGAGAATGGTACGTATTTTAACTATTCGCTAAGGAAACACCGTTAATCTTTGGAACAAGTTATTATATCAGTTTGTTATGATACAAGTCTGCAAAGTTATTCTCTATATTTCATTCAGCTTTTAGGTAAGGGAGCAGTGTTTAGTTATGATCCTATTGGATGTATTGAGCATATTGCATATGCTGCTTCTGGTACTGCAGAACCAATGATAATGCCCTTCTTCGATTGTCAGGTAGGATTTTATGATGCGTTGGTAATTTTAATTTATTAAATTTCTGTTGTTTAAAATAAATAATATATACTTATTAAGTGTTTCATGTTAAAAGACTTTCAGTAAAAAAAA